AGACCAGCGACAGCGCGCCGCTTTCCCGCTGCTCGTCGCGCCGGTCCTTGGACCTGGGCGCATCGCGTCGCAGCACGTGGGAGGAGGACCTTTCCTTTTACAGCTGCGCCTCGTCGTCCGCCCGCTCCGCTCCCTGTGCCCGCCGCCTCCGCTCCACGCGCTCGCATGGGGCCTCCACTCGCCACCACTCCAAGTCGCTCCGCCGCCACTCGAGCCTCGACTGCGAGCTGCTCTGAGCATCCATCGGCCATTCTGCTCCATTCACTGACCGGGTGCGCTATCGGCAAGTTCTATGAAGTTAACATCGACTCTTCGAGGCAGCGCTGATCTCGGCCTGCTCTCCCTTTTTTGGCCCGCTGCGGCCGCCTTTTGATGACGTCTGGGCGCTGCCAAGCGGCCGCGTCTGCGCGTCGGTAACTTTACCGTTGGCGGTGACATCGACAGCCTTCGGCTCGGAGCCGCGTTTGACATCCTCGCGTGAAGCAAGATCGTGAATGAGATCGACCCACGTGTTTTTTCTCCCACTCAGCGTCGCGCTGTGCTTTCTTCGACAGTCATTTTATGCGCGGCGAGGACATGGAGGTGGAAAGCCAAGGAAATTATGGACGTCTCCGCGAGTTGCGAGACCCGAGAGCGAAACTACTACTACCCAGCAGCCGTCCAGCGGCGGCTTTAGAAGCCAAGCTTGAAGAAGTACTTCTTCAAGCAGCCTCTGCCTTCCGTTTTTTGGGGCGTCTCCGCCCTTTCTCTGGAAGACAATGGCAACTGTGTCTCTGTACAGCCTCTTTTTTCTCCTTTTTCTTATTTTTATGGTGGACATATGCATCCGCCTTCTTATTAATGTGAATCATCTTATATTGGAATTTCAAGTTCTCAATTTCACGTTCACAAAAGAAGACACAAGAAAAGGATTGGGGAGTTGAATTGGCTGGTGATGAGGTCTCATAAGGCCCCAAGAAGGTACTGTACATTATATACACCGCTTGGGGTCTGTAGCCCCTTGAGATTTTGCCCTTCTGCTCCCCACTAGTTTTCTGTTCCCGTTGAGGGACCTTGGGACGTTTCACTCATGGAAGTTTAGAGGTCTGGCTGTGGTGTAGTCCTTAGATAAGACTTGCCAGAGGGAAGAGCAACCGTCTGCAGCATGCACACAACAACCCACCAACAAGAACATACACAGCACCATTTCAAAATGTGGCATTAGATGAGAGATCCACATGGAAAGCTGGAGGGGTGCAAGAGAAATGCATCAGGTGAGAGGTCCATGCTAGCGTAAATAGAAGGCCCACCTTGAAGCCCTTGGGGAACTTGTCTTTGGCTGCCTCATTGCTGACTGATGGAGCCACGATGACATCATCGCCGTGCTTCCAATCCACCGGCGTCGCCACGCTGTACATGGCCGTCAGCTGAAGGCTGTCTATCACCCGCAGAATCTGAAACACGGCCGCAAATATGCAGGGGCAGTGAAAGACGGGCGCGTGGATTTGTGGCGGGCAGGGAAAGAATTGGGGAAGACAAGAGTGAAGAGAGAAAGGCGGTGTGAGTGGGGGCTGGGGCAGAAACGAGCCTGACAGAGAAACACAACATACACTCCCTATCAACAAGGCACACTGGACGTGTGTATTTCAATTCCCAAGCCATGCCATGCGAAGCAAAGCGCACGCACCTCATGGAAATTGCGTCCAGTGGTGGCGGGGTACAGAATGGCGAGCTTGAGCGTCTTATCCGGGCCCACCACAAACACGGCTCGCGCAGTCAGAGGCAGCCCCGCTGCATCCTTCGCCACTGGATCCAGCATGCCCAGTTTCACGGCGATGTCGCGACTCGGGTCCGCGATTATCGGATAGGTGACCTGGCGTGGGGAGTGGATGATGATTGAGAGGAAGCGGAACAAGAAAAATAAAAACTCCAGGCTGGAAATCTTGCTGTTGCCAATCTATCGAGGAGCGTGGATTTCTATGCGTTGAGAATGCGCTTTATGAGGCATGACATACTTTGACGCCTGGAGTGAAGGCCTCTATGTCGCTAATCCACGCACGGTGCAAGTCAGCGCTGTCGCAGCTCAGAGCCGCCACCTTTACGCCCTTCTTTGCGAATTCCTCTGCGAATTTCGCCACGCTGCCCAGCTCCGTCGTGCACACGGGGGTGAAATCAGCTGCAAAGAGCCAAGCAGTGCAAAATCCGTGTCCACAGCAAGAAATTGACGATTGAGAGTCACACGAAGTCTGACGGTGCAGCAATAGCTACACTTTTCTTGCCCATTTTTTGCCCAATTTTTGCAAAGAGCAACACGCATGTTGTGCCGCGTACCAGGGTGCGAGAAGAGAATCGCCCAGCTGCCGTCGATGTAGTCGTGCCACTTGATACGGCCCGTGCTCGTGTCCGCCTCGAAGTCCGGAAAGCGATCGCCCAGCTTCAGCCCCACCGACTTGTCGTGAAGCGCCTTGGCCGCGCCCTCGCTGCAGGGTAGTACCATGAAGGAAAGAGGGGAAAGGGCGAAAACGGTGACGAGCGCGAACGACGCGAGACGATTCACGAGAGCGCGTGACGAGTATCGTCCCAAGATAGAGGGAGAGCCGTTGAGTTTTTTCAAAGCGCAAACACAGGCGGCGTCCTTGCTGCAGCGATAGACATCGACGAGAGAACGACGCGTAAATTTTGAGAACAGCTATTGCCATGGTACTAGCCTCACACCCCGGCGAGCAAAACTTCATGTAACACACAGACTCAACTTACCTTCCAGCCATGTTGCGATTCAGTGGCAACTAGAAGGAGAAACAGCAGATACCTATGAGCGGCATATACCACAGACGTCCTCGCACGAGATGGTGCAACAACTGTTGACGATGAGATCTGAGGGGCTTGGTGAAGAAAAGGCGCTGGCAGGCGGCTGAAATAGAGTCGAGATGAAGAATTCCAAGAATCGAAGCAGAGGGCGAATTTCTAGGGGGCTATGATGCGTGATGGGCGGACGGGGTCAAGGATGGGTAACATCGAAAGCGACGACGACTTATCCGACTGCGCCTCAGCTTAACGTATAAAAACACTAAGCACACCCTGTTATGTATGACAGGCTGACATAAGAAAACAGCACACAAACCCGAATCCGCGAATTTCGTTGCACATGCATTGCATCCTGTATATGCAAGCCATCACAAAGGTCGAAATTCACATAACCGCGGCAACATAGTGAACCACGTTTTGCATTTTGTTTCCAGGTTCCACTTATGTAAATAGAAATATCCCTACAGCTGTGTACTGAATCAAGAACACCCTCTTATCGGGTTCCAACGCTCCCTCCTTTGAACTGGCCAGCGTTTGACTGCGTTTGAATCGCGAGGTGCGGGGCAACCCCCGTACAGTGCTGTTCCAGTTCCGTTAGAAGGTGGTACACCTAGCTAGGGTTTAGCAACGACCCTACGGAACAGTTGGAGATCGTGAGAACTGTTGGCGATCCTACAGAACAGTGTGCTACCCACTTTTGTACAGTAATGATTTTGATTATTTTGATTGGCTAGCACTGATTACAATTGTCACTGTGCTGGACACTGTTGAGTAAGATCGCATCACTGTTCGTAAGATCGCCACTGTTCTGTAGGATCGTTTCTAAAACCCTAGCAGGTGTACCACCCCCTTATTCTTCGAACAGAACTGTACACAACAGTTGTACAGCAAATGCCTCTGTCAAGGCTCTAATGTAGCCTCTGTCAGAATCTGTCAGACTATGAAGCAGATGCACTGACACTCGTCCCGTGTGTGGTGCAGCTCGGTTGCTGGGAAGTTTTTGCGTTTCCCCGGTGAAAATGGTGGCGATTTTTGCCAAATCGCGGAGCTTGGACGCTTCCTCATCCACACAACCCGGATGCAAAGGAATCACAGCACTTCGATCGCGCACGGCTCAGCGATCTACAGGATTGGATACTGCATAACGGCGTCGAGAATTGAGATTCGAGAAACGCTGAACTACACCGCACGACACCAGCAAATGGAAACTGTTCGTCGTTTCATGCGCTAACTGTTGCTAGAGTGTTCTCGTCACTGGCTGTGCGCGATCCGCGTTGGCACAAGGAGGATCGAGCACATTCCACTGGGACATCGGCAAGCACATTGCCGCCACAAACACATGGGGCAGCTGACTCCGTCGCTACACTGTTCACGTCAGCAAGATAGCCTGAGCATCCGACTCAAGCTTCAGCACATCCGCATCCAGTGCAAAAAAAGGTGAGTAAATAAAATGGTGATTGTGATTTGTGAGCATCATAACCCTATAGAGCATTGACCCAGGAAATTTTGCGTGTAAAAGGTGAGTAAAAATGGTGTTTTGATTTATTATTCGTGTAAATGGCTGCCCGAGCTCAGGTTTTTGGCCGTCCATCGTCCCCGTCCTAGCGAACACTTTCTTGTTCCACCCGTCCAAGGGGGCGCGTCAAGCTGGCCAGCGTGCTTGCAAGCATTGATTCCAGAGAATCATGTCATGTGATCCTGACGTGCCTCGGTGCAACAGCAACCGCAACGTGTTACCGCGTCGATGAGGAGTCGTTGGAGGAATTATGAGGTGCGCGGGCTCTGTTCTCACGCATCAAAACAGGAGGGAGAATGTCAGAACATGCAGCGGAGCACATACCATTTCTGCTGCATTCTTGTTCCCAAGCAACAACTTACCTCCTTTCGGATCAGTTGACAAGCAAGTTATTGCAATAAAAAAAAGAGCAGCAGCCATTGATATCCGGAATCGCAACGTGTTCCACGTTTAACTGCAGTGTGGGTATCTCTCTTTCCGCGATCACTCGCAGTGTCATCTTACATGATCCGTTTCCGTGGTTCGTAACGTGAAGTTAGAACTAGTAATTTCTTCGTGTGACGGGGGCTTGTCACTGCCGATCTAAATCCGCAAACGCTCTTCTTGTCTCCGCCGGACGATTCTCGAGCAGAAGCCGCCTTTTTCGCCTACAGAGCACGCAGATCGATTCCGACCACTGATCCCACACCCCCCAGCAACAATGGCGTCTGGAGTTCGCGTGTGCGTGGACCATCACAGTTCGTTAGACGACCCTTCCACGCCGCGCCTCTTGATCGACGACAGCCTGTCGCCGTCGCAGATTATCCGGAAGAAGCTAGAAGACGTGGACACGCGCGTGCTCGAGGGTAAGCTGAGACTCCTCGACATGCAGCGACAACTCTCCGCCGTCCGATGCCAGCAGTTCGTCGAGATGCTCGAATCCGAGCTCCAAGCCGCCTCCGCCACGTCAGCGGCGCCGTCACCTGCATTATCCCCGTCGTCGACGTTCCCGTCCGCGTCGCGGCCGCATCGAACCCTAACGCGCATCGGCTCGCTCGACCGCGAAGGCCGCTCCCTGTGGGCGCGGAGCCACACCAGCTGCCGGCCAATCATAGACTCAGCGTCCGCGCCGGTCCAGACATGCGGCTCGGTTGACAGATGCGGATCCGTCGAGCGGGAAAGCAGCGGCACGGGATTCTCGAGCTGGATTGACGCAGAAACCGGCGGTCGCAGCGGCTCGAAGGGTCGACGCTCTCTTGACGAGGGTAATGGTAGCGGGAGCTGGAGAGACGATCTGAGTTTCTATCAGGAGCCGCGTTCGCTGAGTCGCAGTCACACCAACCCGCCGTCGCCAGCTAGCCGGTCGCCCAGGAGCCCGCGCTGCAGCAGCCCGCGGCACGCGAGCCACGCCGCGGTGCGGCACAAATCGCTGTTGCGCCACTCGAGCCTGCAGGTTGGGCATGCTGAACCCGCCTTGTGACTCCGCCGAATGTGATTATATGGAACGTGACTTCACCGAATGCGACTCAGGCCGACACTGAGAGTCACTAAAAAACCCTAAACTCGGCCTACGGCCGTGATACTACAGCGTTTTTGTTCTTGAAACGGGGGAGCGGAAGAGCTGCAGGGAGGCGCAGAGGCGAGGCGCTGAAGCTGCTGCTACCTAACCGTTCTAAATACGGGCATACCACCCCATTTCTGTGATAGATACTATTTAGCTGATCAAGCTTTATAGGCTTCTTGTATATGACACCATTTGTCGGTCACACCTAATATAAAGTAAATTTGAGTATCGTTTAATTACACTGCGTTTTGCATGTGCCAAAAACGAATTTCTGAGGCAAAACGAACCAGCACGCTTCCGTGCAGCTTCAAGTCAACCCATTCATTCCATGAAGCCGAAATTTTTCATGTCAGTAGTCTCAATTCGACACGGTGCTCGTGCCTCTGTCGCGAATGCATCGCAACGCGTCGCCGTGAGACGAGGGGAGCCGAGTGCCATGACGCGCGCATGTCGCACTGAGGTCGTGCCAGGCGGGACGCGCACCGACTGACACGCCGCGAGTATAGATCGCGCGGGGAAAGCCTCCGCGCCGCTGCGACTGTGCTTGTTTCGAGGCGCCTGATAACGCGTACAGAGGATGCCGTGCCGCTGTCAGCAGGGACCGTGGCGGGACGGCCGCCTTGGCGAATCTGATAGGAGCCGCGATGCTTTTGACGGCGCCGGCTACGATGACGCTGTGCCGTTCATTTCGCCATCAGAACATCCGCGCGCGCCCTTCGGATTTGGCGGCGTGCGCCACCTACGCCATCTGCGCCTGCTTCTGCTGGCGCTCGTGATCGCCGCGGCGGACATCCTCTTCCCCGCCTGCTCCTGGCGCAGCTTCCGCCTGCTGCGCGCAGGGGGGGGAGATGTTTCGCCCATGGGGAATGCGGATGCGTTAGCCCCGCCCTCGCTGTTGACTCCGTTGAACGAGTCATACGGCCACGTCAGCTGCTCCCTCACTGCCCTCCGGTGAGACCCACGGAGGGAAGAGCCAGTGAGGAAAGAGCCCTTGGACGATGATGGCATGGTGGCCGGATGGCATGATGGCAGGATGGCATAAAGGTGTGATTGCGCCGCCACTCCTTGGCATCCCTTCTTGTTCTTCCCCCCATCTCCGTCCTACTTTCTTACTGATGACCTGAATGACCGGTTTCCTCTCTCCCCCCCCAAACCCTCACCCCCCCCCCCCCCCCCCCCCCCTCCCTCTTTCCCCCTTCTCATCCCCCCACCTCCCGCCCCATACCCCATTCGACTGCCCTCGCACATACACCCTCCTCCCCAACAACTCCTTTATCTCACGGTGCTGTGCGGCTGAACGCGGTGGAGAGTGGCACCAGACATCTCAGCAGCTTCCTCTCCCTCCCTTCGCCCTCCCCACACCTCCTGCTGTTCGCATTGCTCCTGCTCCCCCTCCACCCCACATCCTCCTCACCGCTCCCTGCTGCCACACATGCCCCCCCACCCCTCACAACCCCCCCGCTGGTAGCACCACCACCCACAGCACCACTGGCAGCACCACCAGCAGCATCATTTGCAGCACCAGCGCCAGCACCGGAACATACCCCTCTTCCTCCGCTCCCTTCCATTCCCGCTGCTGCCTCCCCTGCACTACTTCCGCCCCCTCCTGCCCTGACTCCCTCTGCCCCACCCCCATTGCCCACCCCCACGGCTCCCCACTCCTCAGCATCCCCCCTTCCTCCGCCTCCCCCAATTCTCCCTCCCCCTCCACCCCCTCTCACCGCCTGCCCGCCGTCGCGCCTCTATCTGCCACAAGCCGTGGCTGCTGCAGCAGGGCATGGCGCCAACGCCATAGCAGCAGCAGCAGCAGCAGCAGCAGCAGCAGCAGCAGCAGCAGCAGCAGCAGCAGCAGCAGCAGCAGGGAATAGTGCCAATGCGACCACAACAACAACAACAACAACAGCAGCAGCGGCAGCAGCAGCAGCAGCATCAGGCCCTCCCTTACAGTGGACGCCCCAGGAGCATAAGTACATCCTCATGCACTGCGACAGCGGCCAGGTGACGTGCTCCCTGCCTGCTGCTCAAGTAAATTCCTTTTCTTTGACCAAGTAATTTCTTCGCTTTTGCTTTCTTGCAACAACTCTGTCGGATCAGCTACTGGGTGCACTGCACTGCATGAGATCAGAACACACCTGCTCCTCTCCACCTCCCTTCCACAACCTCCCTCCAGATGCATTCCTGCGTTGCCCTTCTCATCCCCCCACCTCACAGATCAGCAACTGGGTGCATTGCATTGCTCTTTTCATCTCTCCTTCCACAGCGTCCCGTCAAGTGCTTCTCTGCCTTGCCCCTCTCGACCCTCCCACCGTGCAGATCAGTAACTGGGTTCATTGCATTCGCATGCACCTCCTCTTTGCGGGTCTGCTCAGCCGCACGCTCCTTGTGAACGCGCTGCCATCGGAAACCAAGGGAGCGTACAACTACTCTCTCCTCTTTGACATTGCACACGCCCGGCAGTGCTACGGGGCCGCCACTGTACAGACCACTGAAGAGTACTATAACGAGTATGGCAAAAAGGTGGAGCTGGATCGAGTGCTGTGCTGGAGGTACGGATCGATACCCGCTACAGTGCGTGATATGAAGACCTTTGTGCATATACCCGATAAAGTGAATATTAAAGGCCACGTATCGAAATCAGCGTCGGGTACACTCAAAAAGTTCCATACTTTCTTCAATTCGCATACGGGCCATGCGGACGTGATACTACTGGGGGATTTATACAGCTACCCCTCTTTTGAAGGCTTGGAGCACCCCTTGGCGTGGGGCGACCTTCCTTTTCAACGGCTGCCCGGCTGCCCGAGCACACTCGCAGTGCAGCCAGACGAGAGAATTTTCCGGGCAGCCGAAGATTTTGTCCAGGAGAATTTCGGGCAGAAGGCGTTTTTGAGCCTGCATTTGAGGGCGGGGGACCTGCGGGCGAGCTGTGAGCGGCAGCAGCTGGACGTGGGGTGCCGGCTGGGGCCTCACCAGGTGGTGGCGTGCGTCAAGAGGAAGCTGCGAGTGCACCGCCTCATGCACCTCTTCATTGCCACCAATGCTGCCCACAAGGAAGTACCATTGGCAGGAAAACATTGCTCTCGGGTCTCCCATGTTGCTGTCTTGCCCTTTGCACTCCTCTCACCAGCATGAATTTCTCTCAATCGCTCGGTATAGCTGACCCAGCACCCGTGCCAGGCCTGGCTGCGCTCTTGACCTGTGTTCCCTCGTGACTCGTGACATAACCCCCTCACCTATCTTCCCTGCTTCCTACTCCCCCAATCCTCACCACCAGGTGCAGGAACTTAAGCAGTTGTTTCAAGCCAGAGACCCCGCCCCACCACCCCCCCCGGGAGCATCCGTCCTCCCCCCAGGCGTAACCTTCCAAGTGGTAACCGGCGTGCACGATTGGCCGGGGCTGAAGCAGTGGTTCGGGGAATTAGACGACGCACAGTCAAAGCAGGTAGAGGCGGAGGTGGAAAAGGTGGTGGCAGTGCGAGGGAGTGTGTTCCAAGGCACGTGCACGTCTACCTTCTCCCTGGATGTGGAGAGAATGAGGCTGGCCCTGGGAAGAGGTAGCTGTCATGACTCGTTTGTGTGTGACGAGGAGATTGCGGCAGGTGAGGTGGTGAATGAGTCGGAGAGGAAAGGGTGCCGGACAGAGTTTCTGTTCTGGTAGCACTCTGCCCATTGTGGTGTGTGCTACTCATCTCTATGATATATGCTGCTTAGCCGATCCCAGTCCAGTTACTGTACCTAGACGGTCTTGTAAATGACACCCATGTGTGGGTCACTCACCCTAATATAAAATTGTTTTGCTTATCGTTTGACAAGCTACACTGCGTTCGTACGTGCTTGAAACGGATCTTGGCTACTGTAAGCAAGCAATAAGCCCAGCAGCATGCTTCAGTACAGCATCAAATCAAACCATCACTCGTCGCACCGCCGTGCCGATAATCTCATGCCCGTATTCTCGACTCGACTCGACTCGACTCGACGGTAGCTGGTGCGCGTGCCCCTGCCACGGATGCATCGCAGCGCGTCGCCGTGAGACGAGGGGAGCCGAGCGATATGACGCGCGCATGTCGCGCTGAGTTCTTGCCGAGTGGTAAGCGCGCCGAGTGACACGCCGGGGGTACATCGCGCGGGGAATGCCTCCGCGCCGCTTCGAGCGTGCTTGTTTCGAGGCGTCTGAAAACGCGTACAAAGGATGACGTGCCGCTGTCAGCAGGGGCCGTGGCGGGGCGGCCGCCTCGGCGACTCTGACGGCAGCCGCGACGCTTTTGACGGCGCCGGCCACGATGACGCTGCGCCGTTCATCTCGTCGTCAGAACATCCCCGCCGTTCCAGCGCGCCACTCCGCGCGCCATTCGGTATTGGCGGCGTGCGCCATCTGCGCCATCTGCGCCTGCTGCTGCTGGCGCTCGTGATCGCCGCGGCGGACCTCCTCTTCCCCGCCTGCTCCTGGCGCAGCTTCCGCCTGCTGCGCGCAGGAGGCGGAGTATCTCCGCCCATGGGGAACGTGGGTGCCTTAGTCCCGCCCTCGCCGTTGACGCCGTTGACTCCGTTGACTCCATTGAACGAGTCATACGGCCACGTCAGCTGCTCCCTCACTGCCTTCCGGTGAGAAGCAGTGAGGGGATAGTGAGAGAGAGGATCGTGAGAGAGGGGAGGGGAGGGGAGAGCCCTTAAATCATGGCAAGGCGCTGGTGTGAGGTGTGATGGCATGGCGACTCATTGGCATCCCTTCTGGTTCTTCCCCTCCCCTCCTGCATTTTACTGAATGACTTGAATGACTTGAATGATCACTTCCCCCTCCTCATTCGCCCTCCTCTTCCCCCCTCCTCTTTCGCCCTCCCCTTTCCCCTCCTCTTTCCTCCCTCACTTCGCCCCCCCTCCCGAGCCATACCCCATGTGACTGCTCGCGCGTGCACCCTCCACCACCTCCTCCATCTTATGGTGCTGTGCGGCTGGGAGCGGTGGAGAGCGGCACCAGGCATCTCAGCAGCATCCTCTCCCTCCCTCCACCCTCCCCACACCTCCCCCTCTTTGCATTGCTCCTTCCGCCCCTCCACCCTACATCCTCCCCGCTGCTGGCACCACCACCGCCCACAGCACCACTTGCCGCATCATCGCCAGCAGCATCGCCAGCACCAGCGCCAGCACCAGAACATTCCCCTCTTCCTACGCTCCCCCCCATTCTTGCTGCCGCCTCCCCTGCTCTATCTCCCCTTCCTCCACCCCCCCTTGCCCTGACTCCCTCTGCCCCACCCCCATACCCCACTCCCACCGCTCCCCACTCCGCAGCATCCCCTCTTCCTCCGCTTCCCCCGTTCCCCCCTCCCCCACCACCACCCCTCGTTGCCTGCCCACCGTCCCGCCTCTATCTGCCACAAGCCGTGGCAGCAGCAGCAGGGGATGGCGCCAACGCAATAGCAGCAGCTGCAGCAGCAGCAGCAGCTGCTGCAGGGGATACTGCCAATGCAACAGGAACAGCAGCAGCATCCACAGCAGCAGCAGCAGCATCCACAGCAGCAGCAGCAGCAGCAGCAGCAGCAGCAGCAGCAGCAGCGCCTCCCCTGCAGTGGACGCCCCAGGCGCATAAGTACATCCTCATGCACTGTGACAGCGGCCAGGTGACGTGCTCCCTGCCTGCTTCCCTGCCTGCTTCCCTGTCTGCTGCCCTGCCTGCTGCCCTGTCTGCTGCCCTGCCTGCTGCCCTGCCTGCTGCCCTGCCTGTTGTGCTGCCTGCTGCCCGCTGTCCCCACCGTTGAACATGGCTGCAGGCGTAACTGGTTCACTGGGTCGTTGCCTGTCACACTTCAATGTCCCCCACAGCACCGACTCACTCATTCACTCACTCACTCACTCGCACACCTTCTGACTCGCACCCTTGCCACAACCCTGTCGGATCTCCAACTGAGTGGCGCACTGCACTGCATTGCATTGCACTGCATCGCACAGCATCGGATCAGAATGGACCTCCTCCTCTCCTCCACCCTTCCACAGCTTCCTCCTGATGCTGCTTCTCCTCTTTCTCATCCCTCCCACCGTGCAGATCAGTAACTGGGTGCATTGCATTCGCATGCACCTCCTCTTTGCCGGTCTGCTCAGCCGCACGCTCCTTGTGAACGCGCTGCCATCGGAGACCAAGCGAGCCTACAACTACTCTCTCCTCTTCGACATCTCCCACGCCCGCCAGTGCTACGGGGCCAGCGCTGTACAGACCACTGAGGAGTACTATAACGAGTATGGCAAAAAGGTGGAGCTGGATCGAGTGCTCTGCTGGAGGTACGGATCGATACCCGCTACAGCGCGTGATATGAAAACATTTGTGCATATACCCGACGATGTGAATATAAAAGGTCACGTATCCCAGTCAGCGGCGGGAACGCTCGAGAAGTTTCATAAGTTTTTCAATTCGCATACCGGCCATGCCGATGTGATATTACTGGGGGATCTATACAGCTACCCTCATTTTCAAGGCTTGGAGCACCCCTTGGCTTGGGGCGACCTTCCTTTTCAACGGCTGCCCGGCTGCCCGAGCACACTTGCCGTGCAGCCAGACGAGCGGATTTTCCGGGCAGCGGAAGACTTCGTCGATGAGAAATTCGGGCAGAAGCCTTTCTTGAGCCTGCATTTGAGGGCGGGGGACCTGCGGGCGAGCTGTGAGAGACAGAATCTGGACGTGGGGTGCCGGCTGGGGCCTCACCAGGTGGTGCGTGCGTCAAGAGGAAGCTAAGACTGCACCGCCTCATGCACCTCTTCATTGCCACCAATGCTGGCCATTCAGAGGTAATCTTGAAAGTTGTGCTTGAATTGACACAGACCACTCCTGGGGCCTCACCAGGTTGTGGCGTGTGTGAAGAGAAAGCTCAGACTGCACCGCCTGATGAGCCTCTTCATCGCCACCAACGCTGGCCATTCAGAGGTATGCTCATGTGTGAAGAGGAAGCTGCAACAGTTGTTTAGGCGCCTCATAAAAGGGTGTTGGCTGGGGCCTCACCAGGTGGTGGCGTGTGTGAAGAGGAAGCTAAGACTGCACCGCCTCATGCACCTCTTCATCGCCACTAATGCTGCCCACCAGGACGTATGTTTGGGAGAGAGAGAGAAAAAAACATAAGCATGTAACATTCTTTCCTTCTAATCCTGCCAGTCCTCCCAACTTCTCCACCCTCCTTGTCACCACCAGGTGCAGCAGGTGAAGCAGCTGTTCCAGGCCAGAGACCCCGCCCCACCACCCCCCCCAGGAGCACCCATCCTCCCCCCAGGCCTAACCGTCCAAGTGGTAACCGGCGTGCACGGTTGGCCAGGGCTGAAGCGGTGGTTCGGGGCACTGGATGACACACAGTTGAAGCAGGTAGAGGCGGAGGTAGAAAAGGTGGTGGCAGTGCGGGGGAGTGTGTTCCAAGGCACATGCACGTCTACCTTCTCCCTGGATGTGGAGAGGATGAGGCTGGCCCTGGGGCGGAGCAGCTGCCATGACTCGTTTGTGTGCGATGAGGAGATAGCGGCGGGGGAGGTGTTGAATGAGTCGGAGAAGAAAGGCTGCCGAACGGAGTTTCTGTTCTGGTAGGACACTGTGCTGTGCCGCGTGTTCCTCACGTGCCCCTTGAATAACAAGATGTCACGGCCATCAGTGCATCACTGCAGCAAATTAGCAGGGAATTGAACCCTGTTTGGAGGTGTGGTTTGCAGTGCCTGCTCCATACCCTGAGTGTTAAGACCATCAACTCGCAATAAACCACTCAGGCAACGAGTCATGATACTCTGGTGTCTGAATAATCCTTAACCTTGTTCCGAGTGCAATAGACGCTAGTCCAGTGGAGCAGGGCAGACCAGCACAGCACAAGGCCCATGAAGTGAAGTCCAAAATCCTTGATTCACGTGCCAGTGAATGCTTGAAAGTGTGCACCAAGCCCGCTCCACCACACTAGAAAAAAAAAACCAAAGCCCGCTGAGTGCAAGGCAGCGCAAGGGGGCGTATCTGGAAATGCACACAGCACACCCATGCTTTCACCAACAGGCCCTCCCTCTGTTTTGCTGGCAATGAAAATTCTACATAAGCAACCCCAGAATGCACTCCCGCCATGGCCCTTCTGAGGATGCAGGAGAAGCGGAGAGGAGAGGCTCTCAGAGACGAGATAATATTGTCTCTGACAGCACCTCTGCGGCGCCCCATGGGCAGCCCCGCTGCCGCTGCTTCTAGGAGGAGGCAGGGGGCGCGGACAGACTCTTGGAGACGATCTCGTAGACATTCTCTGACAGCACCTCTGCTGCCAGGATGCGCTCCAGCTCCACCTGATGACGGGCAGGCAGGGGGGCAGCGTGGGTGTGCGAGAGGGAAGAGTGAGGCGTTTGAGGTGTCTCAAGGCATGGGCATGGGTGCACAGGAGGGGTACTAGATCAAGAGAAATGCTGGCGGTTTGAAACAGCATACACACAGCGACCTGCGCTCTGAGACGCCTCAACACACCCACCTTAGCCAGTGCCTGCCTAGTCTCGTCACAGCGGCGCCAGCGAGTGAATGCAGAGACCATGCGGGCAGGCACCTGTGCTGTGAGACATCAAAGCACGCACCTTGACGAGCACCCGCCTGTGCCTGCGCTGCTCATACAAGCCACCTGCGCTCTGAGACGCCTCAACGCACGCACCTTAGCGAGCGCCTGGCGGGCCTCGTCGTAGCGGCGCCAGCGGGTGAATGCAGACACCATGCGAGCAGCCACCTGGGCATTGATCTTATCGAGCTGCAACACCATGTCCGCCAGGAAGCGGTAGCCACTGCCATCCGCTGCATGCAGGTTCACTGCACTCGAGGTGAAGCCGCCGATGAGCGAGTACACCTGGTGGGATTGGAGTGCAAGAAGATAGGAAGGGAGGGAGAGATGAATGTCTCTGCCAGGAAGCGGTAGCCACTGCCGTCCGTCGCATGCAGGTTCACCGCACTCGAGGTGAAGCCGCCGATGAGGGAGTACGCCTGGTGGATTGTAGGAGGGAGGGAGTGCGAAAGCAGGGATTTAGCATGTACACCTGATGGGATAGCGCAGGGCCAGTAGGAAAAGGAGGGTGTTGAAAGCAGGCGGTTTATCATGCGAAGTTGAGTATGGACGGTTTGTCAATAGAAGCCATGCAGGCGGAGGTCGAGCAGAGGGAGAGGAGTGAGTGACCTTAGGTTCAGTGCGAGGGTTTGAGAATGGAAGGGCGGTGCATGTGGGAAAGGGAGACCTTGTTGGGTTCGGTGATGATGAAAGCAGGGTGCTCCATGAGCCTCTTGACCGCCTCCACGTTGCCAGGGATGGACGAGGCTGCCTGCAGCGACAGCCACTTGTTCATCACCAGCCCGTCGTGCTTCCACTGCGAGTAGAACGCCTGCAGCGCCTCCTCCCGGGCAACGCCGGGGTTCAGGCAGAGGGCGGCCAGGGCGGCGAACTGGTCCGTCATGTTGCTCGCCGCCCGGAACTCTGACAGGGCGAGCGCACCAGAGGCCTCGTCGTCCAGCGATGCCAGGTACACTGCAGGAAAGGGGGTGGAAGAGGGTAGGAGCGAGATGAGGGGACGCGAGATGGAGATGGGAGGAGGGGGCACGCAGTGAGAGCATCAGGCATGGAGTTGAAGGGACAGAGAGGAGGCTTTGGGAGATGGGGATGGGGTATGAATGAAAGGCGATGGCATCATGGCTGCTGCTGTGGCATTAAGGCGAAAGACTCACGGAGAGCAGCGTTTTTGAGCGAGCGGCGGGCCATGCTAGCGTGCTCAGGGCTGTACGCCTCCCCTTCCGGTGCCCTGTTGCTCTCCTGTTGCTCTCCACCTGGTGCGGCCACCTGGTGAGGCCACCTGGTGCGCACTCGAAGGACACTCACAGAAAGCAGCGTTTTTGAGCGAGCGGCGGGCCATGCTGGCGTGCTCAGGGCTGTACGCCTCCCCTTCCGGCGCCCTGTTGCTCTCCACCTGGGGGGGGGGAAGGGGGGGGGGTTGGGGACGCACGGGGCAAGCAAGCGACACATACCGAGAGCATGGGAGTGAGGGGCGCGAATAGGCAGTAAGGGATGCCCCTACCAGAGCCTCCAGTGCATGTTTTTCTCCTAATTATTATAATTTACTTTCAAATAAGCGTTTGGGCCTACCAGAGCCTCCAGCGTGGGGCGCAGGCGGGTGGCGATCTGCTTGACACAGAACTTGCGCACGGCATGCACGGCATCCGGGTCGGCATACGGCGTCATGAGGTCGGCGATCTCACTCTCGCCCGGCAGGGAGATCACCCGTGCGATGAACATCTGTGTCATGCACATTGCACGTTGACAGGGAAAGGAAGAAAAACACAAGGGCTCAGTTGAGAAGCCGTGTGCAGCTTGGGTGTGAGTTGCTGCCTGCCTACCCTGCAACTGCTAGGTGCTGACACACAGCACATGACTACGCCTTGCAAGAACAAGATCCTGGAGGGCAAGGTGCGGTGGGAAAAGGGGGGGTGGGTGGAGGGCAGGTTTTAGAGTCTACTGAGAAGTCAGCGCATCACACGGCACATGACTACGCCTTGCAAGAACAAGAGCCGCGTGACCCGCACCTTGTCCAGTGACGTGTCATCCAGGATCTTGGCGAGGGCGTCTGTGAAGTCATCCTCCATATGGAGCGGCTTGTTACTGCGATATTCGTCCACCATCCTCAGCAGCATCTTGCGCGCCAGCACCTGGCATGCCTCCCACCTGCCATGGCGATGAAGGGAGAGAGTGAGGAAGAAATAGAACAAGAATATGAGAAACTCAGAAAGCGGGAGGAGAAAAAGGAAGGCGAGGGTTTGTTAGAACCATTGTGATGGGCGAAATAAGAATGCATATGGTAACCAGTCAAGTAACCAGTCAGGTTACCAGTCAGGTTGTAAGGCGTGAGGGGACACCTGTTGAACTCATCAGAGTCATTGGCGAGGAGGAAGAGCCAATCGGCATGCGACAGGTCAGCGTTGAGGCGCACGGGGGCACTGAAGCCACGGAGCAGTGAGGGCACGGGGCGGTGCGGCACGTCCGTGAAGGTGAAGTCTTGCTCCGCCTGTTGGTGTGCATGGGGCAAGGGTGAGTGGTGGGGATGGGCGGGAGGGATGGTGTGTGGAAGAACAAGGAAGGGGTGTGGGGCACGTCCGTGAAGGTGAAGTCCTGCTCCGCCTGTTGGGGCACATCAGGGAGGGGATGGGTGATTGGACGGTGGGTGGACAAGAGAGAAATTATATTTGTTTTTTTCCAACCAACCACGGGCAGCATAAACATACCCTTGCCACCAGGCACCAAACGCGTCAGACACGGCAGCACATGCCCACCTGTGTCTCTTTGAATCCCCCTCTTCCCTTGCCCACCCCTCCTCTCTCTTCCCTGCACACCTTGTTGAAGCGCAGCACGGTGGTGGTGGGGCCATCCAAGTCTGTGAGCTTCTCCCCATCGAACATGTGCAGCAGAGGCGTGTCCTTGCCTCTCTGAACCCCAATGCTTCCCTTCTCCAACCCCCTACAGTCTACTCCCTCCCTCCCTTCCGCACCTTGTTGAAGCGCAGTACAGTAGTCGTGGGGCCATCCAGGTCAGTGAGTTTCTCCCCGTCAAACACGTGCAGCAGAGGCATGTCCTTGCCATCTGGCCCCACCAGCCCCACGGCGAGTGGAATGAGCACCGGCAGCTTGCTGTCCTGCCCGGGCGTTGCAGGGATCTCCTGCCTGCGAGTTGGTGGCAAGAAAGAGCGTTCGAAAAACGACGATTTTTTTTAGCTTCTGAGTTGAGTTGAGATTGACGGACAGGGTTGAGTAGAGGAGCAAGGGGGAACACAGCTGAAGACCTAGAGATATACACATAATCAAAGGGAGTGGCTTACTTGCAGTGCAGCGTGAAGGTGTGGTCCTTCTCGCTGTACGACGATGTCACTGTCACCACAGGCGTGCCTGCCTGGGACAACCTGTGGCAAGTCAACACGACAGAATGGCAGGGAGGCCGTGAATTGCAATGTGCAAAGTGCTGCAATCTCAGGTCGTGCGGAACAACCATGAGCGAATGGAAGGAGGTCACGAATGGCCGCTGTGCGCATCTATGCGAGCGAGAGCACAGCTGTGCATGTGAAACCGTACAGTGCAAGACAGAGAAAGTAGAGAGACGCCGACAGACAGATGGAACCAAGGACGGACAAAAAGGGGTTAGAGGGGAAGGGATGAGACTAGTAGGCTAGGCACAGGGTGAGGGAAGAGGTGCAGGGGATGAGAGGCGTGCGGGTACGTCCCGTCCGGTCTCATGGAGTGGGTATGAGTGAGTATGAGCGGGTACATACCAGGGCTTGAAGCCCTCGAGCTTGTCGTTGTTGGCATCTGCCATGGCAGCAAAAAAGTCGTCGCAGGTCACTGCCTGCCCGTCGTGGCGCTCGAAATACAGGTCCATGCCCTGCATGGCAAGGGGGAGAGACGCAGAGAGGCTATTATAGAAAGACTTCTCAACCATTCCCTGCTTGCCTGCTCGTCATGCCGCTTAAAGTACAGATCCATGCCCTGGCAGCCGGAAGGGAAACGAGCACAGACGCTGATGTAAAAGACGTCTCAAAGATCCACTGCCTGCCTGCCCATCATGCGGCTCAGCGTACAGGTCCATGCCCTACCATGGGAGAGATGAGTACAGGGGGGATGGGGGGCCGGGAAATGCAGGGCAGGCTATGTGATAGAACAATTCCAGTTGAAGGGAAGAAAGTTGACGGATCTAGCAAACAGAAAAACGTCCCGTGCTCCAGGACCCCCCATACTCGCCCCCCACACTCCGGGCACTTGCCATCGCATGGCATGGCATGACATGGCAAATGGGTGCACACGTGGCACAGTGGCTGCCAGGGGCGTGTGTTGTTGCACTGACCTTCCTGAAGCCGTCCTTGCCCAGCAGTGTCTGGTACATCTTCACCACCTCCGCGCCCTGGTGTGGTGTGTGCCGTGCAATATATGCAAGCAGAGAGCATGCCACATGCAATAATGAGCAATACCATATGCATAGATGCACAAGCCATCCCCTCCCATGCCATGCCATCCCATGCCATCCCATTTCATCACATGCCATGCCATGCCATAGCAGGAAATGCCAGATGTGCGAATGCAAGGAGAACAGAAAATAGACTGGTGGATTAAGCCAAACGGACACAGGGCAGCACAATACAAGATGACACACACGCCAGCATGCCAAACAAGCAATAGCTTCTCAAAAGCCGAAACACTGATACCATGGGTCGTAAAAGCTACACCATACACCAGCGTAAAACTGCTCAGCGTGGAGAGTGGAGTGCGGGAAATGGGGAGGGGAGGGGGAGGTGAGGTTGTGGGTGTGGAGGAGTGAGAAGAGGGGGGTAGGGAGGGGAAGAGTGTGGAGAAGAGGAGCACCTTCTCATACACGGTGACTGGTGCGTTGTCAAACAGCAGCAGTCCAGCACAGGGGGTCGATCCATGTGGGGACGGACGGGAGGGGAATTCGAGGAGCTTTGTTGAGCTTGCACGAGGTGACGAGGTGAATAAAACATGGTGCCTTTGGGAGCAGCGCAGGCACGACACAGGACCAGCAGGATGAGGAGAAAGTAGAAACGCGTACGAGAGAAAAGGATGGTGCAGGGAGGGGGGATTGCATAGAATAGATATAGTTGGGAGGAGGAGAAGGAGGGATGACAAGAGGGGGTGTGTGAGTGAGGTGGGGGGCGCACCTGTGTAGAAGTTGTCCATCTGCAGTCATGGGATGGGCAGGCAGAGGAGGAGGCGGAACAGCACATGCAATGCAAGGAGAGAGCTTTAAGTCGATTCACAAGTCAACTTGGCAAAGAAAAGGGGCAATTCAACTGGCAAAAAGAAAGGGCGCTATGTCATACAACAAGACAAAGCATGCACCATTGCCCTACTCACAACTCACTGCTCTCTGCTCACTGCTCACTGCTCACCTTGATGTATGAGCTGGGGCGCACCGGGTGCGCCATGGGACCCGCATCCTGTGAGAGGGGGCAACACATGCATGAAAAGAGAGTTGAAAGGGTTTCACATGGAGAAAAAGCAGAGGGAACAAGCGGACATGCACGCTATGTGGTGGAAAGAAGGCCCAATAACTAGCTCCAAGATTTTTTTTGGGATACATGCATTGTGAAGGGTGCTTGGATGCAGTTGTGATGGAGAGAGGCACACCTCGGAGAACTGGCGGGCGCGCAGCACTGCCACGTTGGCAATGCGCTCCACTGCACGGCAATTCATGTCCGATGAGAACTCCTGGGGGTGGGGAAGGCGGAGAGGTGGGATGGGGTGAAATGGGGGTGGGATGAGATGATGTGCTGTGGGAAGCGGCAAAATGGCCACATTGGCTGTGCGCTCCACAGCACGGCTGCTCATGTCCAATGAGAACTCCTGGGTGTGTGAGATGCGGTGGAATCGGTTGATACGTGGTTGGATGGGGTGAAATGGGTTGAGATGGGGTGACACAGGGTGACAAGGGGTCGAAGGGAGAAGGTGCACAAAGTTCCATGTCCATAACCTATAAGACTGCTGCAGGTACCACACGCGCCACATACTTGAGCTCACACCATGGCATGCCGCAAGGCCAAACTCCCGCCTAATGCACCTCCCATCATGCCCGCCTACCTGTCTCACCCTCCCACCATGCCCCACTCGCCCGCTAGCTGCACTGCCCTGCCCACCATGCCCCACCACACCCCACCACGCCCCACCACGCCCCACCACGCTTCACCATGCCCCACCTGGTCGCGGAAGACAGTGAGCCCCTCCTTGAGCGTCAGCTGGAACCAGTCGCGACACGTCACCCTGGCAGACGGTGAGGGGGATTGGGGCCGGCAGGGAAGAAGAGAGGCAGGGGGAGTGGGGAGGGTGAGAAGTTGGAGAGTACGAGCAGGACATGCGCAAGCACAGGACCCTGTCAGGCAAGGCAATCCCTATGTGCTGCTGGTGGACATGTGCTGCTGACAGATACGTTCAGCCTGGTTGACATGAGCGGCTGACAGATACGTTCAGCCTGGTGGACATGTGCTATCCTGACAGCAGTGCGGCAAGAGGCTCACCTGTTGCCCGTCCAGTTGTGGAAGTACTGGTGAGGAGTGACGAAAGGCCATGAGACCCGTGTTTGCGGGGCAGAGCAGGGCAGCAGGGGGCAATGGAGGCACAGCACACACCATCCCCACCCCCTCACACACCAATTCACACCAACCCGCACACACACACGTACATCCCCCTCTTCCCCCCACACACAGACCCACACATGCAAAAGCACGCACACAAGCGCATGCGCGCACACACACACGAGGAGTGTGAGTAAAGCATTAGAGTTGGTGACGAGGCACACTGAACAGCTGCAGCACAGCAGAGCAGGAGGTGGGGTGGGGGAGAGACGATAGCGAAAGCCAGCAGGGTATACAAAACAGCAAAAGCCGAAAAGTGGAGCAGGGGGATAAGGGGGAGTGGGAGCGGGAGCGGAAGTGGGAGTGGGGGCGGGAAAGGGGGGGGGGGGGGGGAGCGGGAGGGGTAGGGGGAAGAGGGGGGGGGAGAGGGGAGCGGAGGGGGGAGAGAGAGGGAGGGGGATTGGAAGGGGGAGGGGGAGTGGGAGTGGGAAGGGGAGGGCGAGGGGGAGTGGGAGGGGAGAAGGGGGTGGGAGGGGCAAAGCAGCAGTGGAAGGGCGGCAGGCAAGGCGTGCAGGGCGCACCTCGTGGGCAATGACCCCCCTCGATGGCCGCATAGTCTCCATCCGTGGCCGTCTCTGGTGAGGCCAGCACCAACCGCGAGTTGAAGATCTGCCGTGTGCGAGGGGCGAGGGGGACGACAGAGGCATGGCCACGCGGGGAAGGCGGAGGCGATGTGAGAGGGACCTGAATGAACGGTCACCGAGGAGAACGCAGCACGCGGAGACAGGAATACCAGCCCAGAGAGACGTGTTGCACAGAAGAGCAAGAGAAGATGAGTACAAAGGCACTCACGTTGAGGCTCTTGTTCTCCATGGCCCCCATGTTGAAATCAGGCACCTGGTCAGCAACCGAGAGCGGTGGGAAGCGAGTAAAAAAAAAAGGGTGAACAGGAGGAAAACGGGGTGGTTGGGGTGGTTCGTACAAAGAGAGAGGAGCTGGGTGAAGGGAGAAGGGCGGGGGGCGCGGATTACAGGCAGCAGAAGGAAAGAAGCAGAATATTGGACGGCAACACGCACGGCCAAGGCCCAGATGAATGGGTGTCGTGTCATGCACAGACCTAGCATGAAACGTCCATGCGCCACTTTGTACCCCCCACTCGCCCCCATCACTCACGGCAACAACGTTGAAGAGGTCAAGATCGTACTCCCTGCCAAACACCTGCGGCACAGCAGCAGGACAGCCACACCACAGGGAAGCACAGGGAAACGACCGCATCAACCACATCGCATTGCACACACCAACACACAAACAGCCGCTACCTGTAGCGGCATAACACGAGCCCTTCGGTTTCAATCTATCCCCATCCAAACCCTTCTCCTCCAGTGGAGGACATCCAAACCCCATCCCCACCACCCCTAACCCACCACCGCCCCCATTTCCCCCATCCCCACCCTCCCCACCCTCGTTTCCCCCCTTTCTCCTCACCTCCTCGTCCCACCGGAACGACTCTTTAAGAGACTTCATGGCATGAGCCGTGCGGCCCTCATCGCCCGCATTCACCCAGATGCGCAGCGCCACCTCCCTCCCGCCGCACGTCACAAACGTATCCTCGCAGCACACCAGCTTCCCCGCCACCAGCGCAAACAAATAACACGGCTTCGGCCACGGGTCCTCCCACACCGCATAGTGCCGCGCACCCTCCCCTTCGCCAACCGTCCCTGCGTCGATCTGGTTACCGTTGGAGAGCAGCACGGGGCAGGCACTGTGGTCAGCCTCCATGCGCACGGTGAAGCGGGACATGACGTCGGGGCGGTCCTGGTAGTACGTGATGCGCCGGAAGCCCTCCGCCTCACACTGCGTGCAGAAGTTGCCGCTCGACCGGTACAGACCCTGTTGGAAGAGGTGAGGCGGGGCAATGTGGCACGAAACCATGAGAGCACAGAGGAGAGGAGATGAGTTACTTGGGCAGCACGCACACGCACGTTGATGCGGAGGAAGCCCTCCGCCTCGCACTGCGTGCACAAGTTGCCGCTCGAGTGGTAGAGACCCTGGTGCCCGCCCGCCAGTCAGACAGGCGATTAGATTGCCACAGCAGCACGTATGCACGTGGGCGTGCATGTGCGTGTGTGTGTGTGGGTATGGGTGTGCATGCGTGTGTGTGAGAGCGTGCGGAAGCGTGTGTGTGTGCATCAGAGGGGGATGAGGGGAAAGGGGCGTGTGCATGGAAGCGGGAAACACAGATAGAGGCAAGAAATGAGGAAGGGAAACCTAGCACAAAGCCATGTGAACGCAAACGAGACAACTTCCACCTTGGCACACCACACACCCAGGCAAGCTGAGCAATCCAACAGCGATTGAGCGAGCACAGGTGGTGAGTAAGAGCGTGAGAATGTGATGCAGCACACTGCATCATGTGATGAGAGAGGATGCGCGCCACTTGCGGACCTGCAAGAGAACTCAAAGTCGTGAGTGGGCGAGTGGGGTACCTCGAGGGATGTGTTGGCAGCAGGGTTGATGCGAGTGACGATGGCCAGGGTGAAGGGCGATGCAGGCGGGGACAGCAGCGTGAGCCTCTTGCCCGTCTTCACATACTCCTCCGCCTGTCGGTGTGTGCGCGACACACAAAGGACAGGACAAACAATTCTTTTAGACGCCTCAAGACTAGATAGAGGAGTGAGCTTCTTGCCTGTCTTCACGTACTCCTCTGCCTGTCAGTGCACCACACAGTGAATAGAATAGGAAAGAACGGCAATACTCGGCAAAGGTTACACCGCACTACAGGAGAAGCAGGTGGGGACCATGAGTGGGGTGAACACAAACGATGCGTTCAGTCAGCACGCTCTTCTCCATAAGCAGCCCAGCCCACAAGCCTGTGAAACTGCACCCTCTTCGCAATCATTCAGCTTCAAAACTCACCGGCACATCAACACCGTTGATCTGCAGAGACACCAGCTCCAAATCGTGGCCGTCCAACACGAGCGGCGCAGACCCATTTTCTGATAATCAGACAAAGAATAGAAAAACAATGAGCCGATGACTTCATGTAGGAGGCGCAAGTGATGCAAAAGTCAGACGACCCTCGTCGAACAAACCCAGCGACAGGCCGAAACCAGTTTGCGACCGCTCGTGGTGGCCTAGCACCGCCCTGGCTCACCTGGCTTGTCCGCCTTGTCATTGGCAACAACGGTGATGGCGGACTTGACGAGGGTGTAGTCGTCGTGCAGATCGAAATCCAACGACACCTGCAACACAATGGGAGACGTTTGGTTCAAACGGGAAAGAGTAAGGGTAAAGAAGGCTCGCGACCACGGTGATGGCGGACTTGACAATGGTGTAGTCGTCATGCAGATCGAAATCCAGGGACACCTGATGGAACGCAAGATGTAGGATTCACAGGGGACAGGGAAAAGAAGGCTCTCACGACGCACGGCGTAACTGAAAGAGAGTGAAGGCCTAATCGTAGTAGCGAGAGAGTGCAATGTTTTCAACCCAGTCAACTCAGTCAACCCAGTCAATCCAGTCAACCGAGTCAACCCAGTCAACCCATGGATCCCACCTTGTCGAAGAGGTACGACGGCGGCTTGTAGTTCGCGAGGAAGATCTCCTGTGGCTTCTCCTCCTCGCCCTCCGCCGCCGCGCCCTCCTTGGCGGCGACCGCCAGCCCCGCTACCGCGCCATCGGCGGAAGCAGCCGCCTCCTCCCGAGCCGCAGCCTCCTCCGTCATTTGCTGCACGGGAATAAGGGATGTGCTAAGAAGAATGAATTAACTTTAGTCAGTGAACAGCATCGCCAATGAAAAAAACTAACGAAAGCATTGGAGCAACTTGGAATGTCGCGGACAGGAATTCGCTAAGCTGTCGGCTCAAGCACTGCGAATTTGCGTAGCGCGTAATATAGTAGCAGAAAAACTCTGTCGTGTAAGATCACCAAATGTCCAGAAGAATCGAGGGGGGTCTAACCTGCGTGTTAGAGCCGGACGAGAAGCCGCGGATGGAGCTCGGAGCAGATCCGATCGCAGCACCGAATCCGATCCCTGACGTTGCGACAGCACCAGAAACGGGTCCTGCGGCGCCGGCGATGGCAGATGCTGCACTTCCAACCGTCGATTTGCTCCCGCCGGGCGATGCGACGGTCGTCGCAGGCGACTGCGTGAGACCAGCGATGCCCTTGAGCACGGATCCTGCCGCTGCCGCTGCTTGCATGATCGCGCGAGAACGGGTTTCGCGATAAAAACGGCGAGGGAGCGGATTAGGCTGCTTTGAGGAATTAACGAGCAAGACGCCTAACCCTAAAAGGCGTGCTAGGAGCCTCTGACTCGCCACCTTGGAATTCCTCCGGAATCTGGATTACTCGAGTGTGTGGTGTGAGTCTAGAATGGCATAATCACTGAATACCATTCCAGGATAGGCTATCCTTGGCCCTCAGAGCTCTGAGTGGGTACCAATGGATAGGCGTGATCGACATGTAGTTACCCGATCATGATGTCGCACCCACTCACACTCAAAATCAAACTCGCAAACCGTCGCAAATGCGCAACCTTGGCTTCTCCTTCGTAATTTCAGCTTGTATGCCGGTTCCCCGCCCAAACCTTTTTTGTGTCTCATAATTCTTGATGTATCGCGTGGAACTTCCTATAACACGACATACAAAGGCATACACTACTACACAATCGCAGCAGACCGTGGTGAGGAATTTTAGTGTAGCAAAGCTGACTTTAGTACAGTACGCAGGTGCCAGGTATTGTACTTTGTCGCCAGGTAAGCAGGCCTGCGGTCCATAGCTGGCGAGGTTGTACCTATTTTCCAACCTCGAGTTTCTTCCCGTCCATCTCGGTGCCTACGTCGAGCCAGCTCCATAATCCAGATCCGGGACGCGTTATTACCTGTGTGACTAGTGCCCACCGAAATTTGCACATCTTACCGCATTGTTCTGTAACGCCCTTTCGGATGTTCCCATCCCAGGTTGTAGGTCAGATCCGAGCCGAACGTTGACCGTTGACGGTCTTTTTAGGCCGGTGACCGGCGTCAAGTTGCGGTGCTGTGCGTCTCGTCCAATGAAAACAAAAAGAATGACTATGCAGTCGTCACGTCGCTTTCACTGTCGACAAGCCATACAGCAACGGACGATATGCCGACGCTTGGGGTATCTATTCACCCACGTTAACGCGTATCTCGGACTTTCCTGCCATGTGTCCGAACCTCTCGGTATTGAGGCTCCTCGAAACGCGTTCCGCTACATGCCTTCGACCGCGTGAAGCCAAATCGGCGTTGACCGGAATGGCGAGGTGCGATCCCGGCAGGCGATGTTCGAGTCGACTCAAAAATCGACCAGCTATCTGCAAGAACGCATTTCTCTCCTCAGAATCTCGTGACGGGGACACTCATCAGAGATCGAACTCGGCCTTCACGACGCCACACATGGTCGCCGCATTACAGACTCCAGAGTCCAGGAGTCGCGTCGTGATGACAAGCGACGACGCTGCTGCATGCCCCGTCCCCGCCATTGATTGGCGCTTCGTTTCACGCGAAGAGATCGCGCGGCTGGCGCAGCAGGGCCTAGTCGCCACCGCCGCCGATTCCGCCGACCGCCGTTCGATCCGCGACGACAGCAACTTGCGCCGTCGCCGACTGCGCCACGTGGCGCGCGAGGCGAGCACGGAGCTGGCGCGCGTGGTGGCGGAGTGGCGCAACGAGGACTTCCGCCGCCGCGACCCGCCACGACGCTGCTGCATGCCCCGTCCCCGCCATTGATTGGCGCTTCGTTTCACGCGAAGAGATCGCGCGGCTGGCGCAGCAGGGCCTAGTCGCCACCGCCGCCGATTCCGCCGACCGCCGTTCGATCCGCGACGACAGCAACTTGCGCCGTCGCCGACTGCGCCACGTGGCGCGCGAGGCGAGCGCGGAGCTGGCGCGCGTGGTGGCGGAGTGGCGCAACGAGGACTTCCGCCGCCGCGACCCGCAGGCGGTGGCGGTGCTGGCGGCGGAGAGGCATCGGCGCAGCCTCAGCTGCAGCGATCTGGGCGGAGTCAGATGTGGCGCAGAGGACGAGCGCGAGTGCCGGTTATCCTGGGCAAGTGAGGCTTGCGGAAATGGCTTAGAATCGACAGCATTGGCAGAGGAAAGAGCCCACGCGACTATGGCTAGTAGCAGGCAAGCAGGCCCTAGCACAGCTTCACTATACGGCTCCCCATCACATGCATTGTGGGGCTCTGACGCATCCCAGCACCAGGGAGGGGTAAGCCCGAGCGTGCTGCTGCCGGAGTTGTGCCCGTTTCCACCAACGGACTGGCGCCACGTGGCGATCGCCGACAGTCCTCTCTCCTCCAGCCGTCTCTTTAATTATGACAAAGATAACGCCTCCCTCACTCCCTCTTTATCTCTTAATTCAACAAGCGGGTCACATCAACGAGCCTAACTCGTTGCTGCTTGCAAACTGACTTGCTCACACCACACCACCTCTCCTGCGTCTCATTATCCTCCAGTATCCCTGCCAGGCTTGGCATTTGCACCTTTGCTTGTGACTGGGCGGGTCTAGCTATACTTCCTAACGACAACCACTCACTGAGGTAGCAGCAGCATTACAAGGAGAATATACGGTACTGGCCTGGCCTGCGTGAGAACAATGAGGGGGGTTGACGCCTTGTGTTCAGTTGAAGCAGTTGGGAACCGGTCCTGCCGTTGCGTCGATTGAAGATGCTGCACCAACCGTTGATTTGCTCCCGCCGGGCGATCTGACGGCGTCCCAGGCAACTGCGTGATACCAGTGACGGCCTTGAGCACGGATCCCGCCGCTGCCGCTGCTTGCATCGCGTGAGAACAGGTTACGCGAAGGAATCGGCGAGGGAATGGAGTAGGATGCTTTGAAGAACTAACCAGGAAGAGGCCTAACCCTGGGAGGCGTGGTAGGAGTCTCCGACTGGCAGAATCTGGAATACGGAGTATGTGGCTCTAGAAAATGCTGACTACCTAGGCTATCATACTCGTGTTGAACCGAGCTTTGAATGAAAGTGTTGGTAAAGACTGGTTTAACGTTGTCTGACATTTAGTTACCCGATCATGTTTTTGCACCCACTCACCATCATAAATGAAATCGCATGCACTCAGTTTGCCTTTAAAATTATTTCCGCCCTAACTTTGACCTGCCTTTTTGTTGATTCATGACCCTTTACCCAATCGCAGCACACCATGGCGAGAAATTTCTGCAACAAAGGAGACTTGAGGTGACACTCGCACTTTTGTTGCCGAGCAGAGTACAGCGCGTAGGTGCCAGGTATTTTACATGATGTTAGTCGCCAGGTAAGCAGACCTGCGGTCCATGGCTGGCTATGGCGAGGTTATACGTTTCCCTTACCTCGAGTTTTTCCCCGTCCATCCCAGTTTTTAAGTCGAGCCAGCCCGACCAGCCAGATCCGACGCGCGTTATTAGCTGTGTGACTAGTGCCAACCGAAAGTTGCATCTCTTACCGCTTCATTGATGCCCACTCGGATGTGCTCGGGTCGACTTCAGATCCAACCCCAACCACTGTGACTGTTGACCTGCTTGCTAGGTCGGTAACGCGGAGCTTGAAGGTGCGGTTCGGTGCGTACAGACCGACAAAAACGAGTAATTAGTTGTGCAGTCGTCCCGTCGCCGCGTTCGCTGCCAGACTAACTTGAACCCCCAGTGGACTAATTGCCGGCGCGTTAATATTCACCATGTTAACGCGTGACCTCGGACTTCTCTGCAATGTCACAGCGCGGAGCCTCTCGGTATTGAGGCTCCGCGTAACGTGTCGGTGGAGCGCCATATTCCTTGCACCGCGTGGGAGCAGACCAGCGTCCATGAATGGAGATGGCGACGTGCTATCCACGGCAGCCGACAGTCGGTCTTCGAGTCGACTCAATAAATACTCGACCAACTATTCGCACTTGGTAATCCGCCATCGATCCGCGACAGCGCTCGACTCTCGTCGTTACCTCTCTAGTCTCTTTCCTCGAGGCCCGTCTCGCGTCTCATCCTTCGGGCGCTGCATATCGTCCTTCCGGGTTAGTCGCAACGGATCGAACGTTCCGCTCGTCACGTGCACGCCGACCCATTGACATCATGTCGCGCCCGATCTTCGACTGCGTAGCAAGCCTCGATCAATCGTGGTGGCTGGCGCGATGTTAGGCTGGAGTGAGCACCTGCAGGGACCGCGTTAGGTACGCCTGCGCGCTGATTCGGTAATGCGGTGTGGAATAACGACGCCACACATGGTCGCCGTGTTACAGACCCCAGAGTCCACAAGAATCGCGAAGTCGCGTGGACAATTCGTGAACCCGCGTCGGAATGACAGGCGACGACGCTGCTGCGTGCCCCGTTCCCGCTGTTGACTGGCGATTCGTTTCACGCGAAGAGATCGCGCGGCTGGCGCAGCAGGGCTTCGTCGCCACCGCAGCCGATTCCGCCGATCGCCGTCTCACGATCCGCGGGGACAACGAATTGCGCCGCCGCCGCCTGCGCCGCGTGGCGCGCGAGGCCAGCGCGGAGCTTGCGCGCGTGGTGGCGGAGTGACGCAACGAGGACTTCCGCCGCCGCGACCCGCAAGCGGCGGCGGTGCTGGCGGCGGAGCGGCATCAGCACCAGCGCAGCCTCAGCTGCAGCGACTTGGGCGGAATCAGATGTGGCACAGAGGACGAGCGCGAGAACGGGTTCAGCTGGGCGAGTGAGGCATGCGAGAATGGCTTAAAACCGACAGCAGCGGCAGAGGCAAGAGCCCAGCAGGCTACTAGGGTTAGTAGCAGGGTGGAAATTCCCAGCACAGATTGCCCATCTGGTTCCCCATCATGTGCATCGTGGGGCTCTGACGCATGTCGGCACCAGCGAGGGGTAAGCCAGAGCGAGCTGCTGCCGGAGCTGTGCCCGTTTCCACCAACGGACTGGCGCCACGTGGCGCCCGCCGGCAGTCCTCTCCCCTCCAGCCGTTTCTCTTATCATGACAGAGATAACGCCTCCCACACTACTAGTATTCCTGTATCCCCTAATAAAACAACCGGTTTACTCAAAAGAATATAATTGCTGCTTCTTGCACAGCACACTCACCTCCTCGCACCACCTTCCTGGATCTTGTTGCCCTTCCAGTCTAGTACCTATCCCTGCCGGTGCTGGGTATTGCAGCCTCTCTGCTTGTCGCAGGGAGGGGGGCAATCCAACAACCACCACACAAGACACAGATTATATGTAG